ATATAAAACGCGTACTAATTAGACCTCTAACGAAAGGAATCAAAGTGAAACATTCTAATAATTTAAGGGATCTATTTGTACATTTTTATAATTTAGGAATCAAGTAATACTTTTCAATAATTTAAGAAGTCAGTTTATACGTTTTTATAATTTAAAAAGTTAAAGTGATATTTATTATAAATAATCCTAAAATTAATTTGATCGTCTTAGCATTATTCTCCAAACGAGTCACATGCCAGGTTCTTTTCTTTCCAATGGTATGAAAAGTTCCTTCTTATTACCTTATCCATGTGGCTATGGGAAACTGGGAAAGCACCTGGAACACAAATGAAAACTTGCACTTGCAGAGTTCAAAAACTTGCATTTAAGGGAATATATGTTATTCGGTCGGGTCTATATTGGATTTAATCTAGAAAAATGCTTGGGAGCACTAACCCACTAATTAGGTGGCAGTGGGTCCCGTCATTAATGATGTGATGTTTTGGTCTTGGAGTTGTATTTTTTTTTTTTTTACTTTTTTAATGCATTAGTGTTATTAGTGGTGATATTTTTAGTGGGATGAATCATTGTTGTTTAATCTATTCATCTCAAGCCCAGTTTGAAAAAAAATTTAAATCTTATGTCCGGTCACTTAACCAAATAAATGAAAATATAAACTATTACTTTTTAATTTTTTTCCCCCATATCGAATGGATATTGAATTATTTCAATTCTTTTGTTTATTATTTGAATTGAAACGTTAACAAAATTCAATGTTAAAATAAATGTAATTTTTAAAAAACATTATAATTTAAACCCTATAATGAAAAAGTATATATATTTTGTCTATATTTTTTCCACTTTATTTTATGAATGGGTGAGCCCAGGCTGGGTCGAGCTAAAATTTTAGTGTAGTCCGACTGTATGGGTAAAATAATTTTTTCAAACTCTAAGAATATTGGACTGGGCTGGGTGAGTTAGGTAGGCTAACAGGTTAATGGTCACCCCTACCCCACACCACACTCTCAAAATAGATATATGAAAAATGTTTGGTAACTTAAATTTATGTCACTCAAATGGCTCGAATGTATCAAAACAACATCGTTTAACGTCATTTTGCCGCCAAAATGACGTCATTTTAAGACATTTGAACTATTTGAGCTATGAAAATTCGAGGTACTATGCATTGTTGTATATATATATATATCACATGCACTTTCATCGGGGCCAACTATGACATTTTTGAGATCCAAAACGAACTCTCAATAGGAAACCTATACATTTAAAAAAAAAAAAATTATGTATTCAATTTTTTTAAAAATTTTTTTACAGTGCTTACAAAAAAGTTACTTTCATACGTAGCTATTAGATTTTGCTTATATATATATCAAGGTTAAGAAAAATTATCAAAATAATCTGAACTCAACATAAAAGTGAACAAACAAAATATCACTTAAAAATCACTATTCTTACATAACTGCAAAATTGCTAATCAAACTTACATGGTCCAACTTATCAACTAAATCATTTTTAAAGGAAAAAATTGCTAATTTAGCTAATCTCTCTTATAACATAGTTGATTGAATGTTATATCTATCAACTTTAAATTAGAAAATTAATTTTTCAAAAACAACTATAATAGTATAATTAATCATAATCTATACCTAATTCATGTATTTGAAAAACAATCCTCTATTATTTTTAAATAATTTACCATATTAATCAGTTTTTTTGATTTTTTCAGGTAAGAAAAATTATTCATTAGTTTCAAATAATTCACCATATCAACTATATATTAATTTTAAATATTCACCGATTTTTGTCAGGGCCTTTCAAATTTAGGTTTTTTTTTTTTTTATGAACTAATATAATAATTATTAAAAAAAGTGAAACCCTTTTTTTTGATAATTTTTTGGTGGCCAAAGCCGGCCTGACTTTCATTAATAAATCTGAATCATTAATTAATAATCATATTTGGCAATAATCAAAGTCATTACAATGGACTAGAATCAATACCAACCAAACACCCACAGTTCATAAATCAACAGCAATATAATTGACATGGAATTATCTTGTTTTTTTTCGCAATAAAGCTTGTGTTGCAGAAAATTGACCCAGAATTTTATAATGTGATTGGAATTCAATATATATTTTGTAGAGTTTATGTACAGAATAAATTCAAATCATACATTGATGATTTGAATAAAAATCAAATAAAAATTTTATTTGCATAGTATTACTATATTTATTACTCACCTACGCCAACACTTGTTACCCGTGTGTGTGAAGTCAAGCTCGTGAAAAATAGAAGCCCTGAGCGTTTGACAAATGTAAAAGAAAATAAGGTTAGTTTTTTCTTAAACAAGTCAAAAAGTAAATAAATTATTTATCATCAGTTAAAAAAGTCAAATGTCACATAATTTTTTTTTATTCAAAAAAATAATAATTTTTTAGTAATTTTTCAAACACATTAATTTTTTTAGAACCTTTAAAAATGCTAAAAAACCAAAAAAAAAAAATCAATTAATCTAAAACATGCACAACTAGGAGCAATTGTCTCACATCATGCAGTGTGTTTGGTTTCAATTTTTTAAATTCAATTTCTAAAAATTGAATTTTTTGTTTTTCGTGTTTTTTTTTTGTTTTTAGTGAATATTTTAAAAAATTTAAGTAATTTTTTTACTTTAAAGTAGATATTTGTGAAAAAATATTTTTAAAATTAATAAATATACAAAAATATGAAAAATACACTGAATTTTCATATTTATTTGTGTTTTTGGTATGTAGTGATTTTTTTTCACAAATATTATACTTTTTATGTATATTTATGTTAGGTGCGTTTAAAATTTTTTAAAAATGCTTAAAATATTAAAAAAAATCATTGAAAACAAAAAAACAAAAATAAAAAGCAAAAAAATAGAATTTTTTGAAAGTGAATTTTAGAAATCAAAACCAAACAGAGTGATTATTTTTTTTAGCCCCCTAGTTTACGTTGTAGAATAGAATAGGAATTTGAGGAAGTGACACAAGTCACCACATGACTACAAAAAGACTCAATAAAGAAGTCTATTTCCATGATTTTGTAATCTCTTTTACAGCAAAGATCTTTGGCATATCCAATCCAACACTCAAAATCTTGTCTATAAAAAGCTCCTTGTTAGCCTTGTCTTTCTTTCATCCAATAGTGCTTAGAGAAATCAAGTTAACTCAATATGGGTTCCTCTTTGCATCTCTTTCAGTTCATGCATTTACTCTTCTTAGCACTCTCTTGCTTTCATTTTATAATAACAAGAATACTAGGTATCATGAAAGAAGTATCATGAAAAGTCTTCATGAAGAATCTTCACCCTTGGATTAGTTTATAGTGTTTGTAATGCTTTATTGTATGTTATACAATCACCCTTGGATTTGTTTCATGAAACTTTTCATGATATTCTTTTCATGATGTGTAGCATTACTCTTATAATAATAAGAGAAAAGTTAGGGATCATGAAAATGATCATGAAAGATTTATGATTCTTGAATTACCTTGATTAGTGTGTGATACTTTATTTTAAGTGTAATCCAAGGGTCACAAAGCTTTCATGATTATTTTCATGAAAGGTTTTTAATGATACCTAACATTGCTGTAATAATAATGGCTAACTCTTTGTCTGCTGAGCAGCCACTATGCCATGCAGACGAGAGCTCCTCCCTGTTGCAATTCAAGCAAACCTTTTCAATTGACAAATCCGCTTCTAGTGATCCTTCTTCTTCTCCGAAGGTTGCATCATGGAAGCTCCAAGGAGATAGTGGCAATTGCTGCTCATGGGATGGCGTCGAATGCGATGAGGATACGGGTCATGTGATTGGCCTTGACCTCTGTAGCAGTTTCCTTCACGGTTCTATCAATTCAAGCAGCAGCCTCTTCAGCCTAGTTCACCTTCAATGACTTAACCTTGCTTATAATGACTTCAATTACTCTCGCATTCCATCAGAAATTAGCCATCTCTCAGAGCTAGTAAGTCTCAACCTTTCCTAAACATTGATGACTGATGAAAACTGGTCTGATGATCTCATTTATATACTAACCTCAATGAATACTGACTATGGACTCATGTTGGCTCAGCTGTACTTCAATGCAAGTGACCCATTGAGTGAGTTGTGGCGAATTGCCTGGATAATTCATGCTTTTTGGACTCTGCTTGCATTCTCTCTCTTGGTGGTGATATGTGTTCTTTGGGCTCTTTCAAGTAACCTAACTAGGTATCTGTGATATGTGTTCTTTGGGCTCCTAGTTGGGTTACTTGAAGGAGCCCAAAGAACACATATCACCACCAAGAGAGAGAATGCAAGCAGAGTCCAAAAAGTAGGAATTATCCAGGCACTTCGCCACAACTCACTCAATGGGTCACTTGCATTGAAGTACAGTTGAGCCAACATGAGTCAATAGTCAGTATTCATTAAGGTTAGTATATAAATGAGATCATCAGACCAGTTTTCATCAGTCATCAATGTTTATGAAGCCATGAATATATATATATATATAATATTAGGTTGTGAAAATTTAGAGCTAGAATAATCAATAGAAGAAAAGATTATGAAAAGAGATTGTTGTTGTGAATGCACATGTGTAGAAGCTGGTGCAACAGGCCCACCCATGGCCTGTTGAGACTCCAATAAAGAAAAGAGAGAGTGCATGAGTTTAATATTTTCATTTTGTCTAAATAATTACAATGACATGGGGTCTGTGTAATTTTCTAAATGTCAGAGATAATATGTATTAAATTCAAATTTCAGGAGGTGTAAGTGTAATTTACCTTTTTTTATTTTTATTTTTATTTTTTTTTTATGTTTTATTTTGATTTTTTCACGAGTCATACAAAAGATGGCACACTGAATCTATTATATCAAATTTTGATTTCTAAACAATGAATGGAGAATACAGGGCAAATCAACCACATTGGGGGCAACTCCTCTAACATTAAAAAAATCAAACTCATTTTTATTTTTATTTTTATTTTTTTTTATGTTTTATTTTGATTTTTTCACGAGTCATACAAAAGATGGCACACTGAATCTATTATATCAAATTTTGATTTCTAAACAATGAATGGAGAATACAGGGCAAATCAACCACATTGGGGGCAACTCCTCTAACATTAAAAAAATCAAACTCATATTCATCTCTTTTCTTGTATAAAAAGCAACACGTAAATGCTCATATGATTATGTTAAAACAAAATGAAAGTGGGTTTGCTTGTGAGTGTGTATATGTATACATACCAGTTGGCGATGAAGGAGAAGGCAAAGTCGCCGAGCTTGTAAGCAGAGACGCGGGTGAAGGTGCATTTACTGCGACGGACGAGCTTCCTGACAGCGGTGTCGACGAGGTGAAGGGGGTGATTAGACCTGCGGCACCATTGCTCAATGTCGATGTCGGTCCAGCAATATGGGCCAGCCACAGCCTCCAACCAAGACCTGCACACCAGACCCATCGTTTTCATCCTCTCCTCCGCCTCTAATGAAATTTCAAAAGAATTATTTTCAGAGTAAAAGTAATTTAATATTTGCTCCCAGGAGCAAGTCAAATATGATATTTAATTGCCAAGCAAAACAATACCCAAATGCTTTTTCCTTGGCATGAAACAGTTATGCTGATTGCGCGGGCTCCATCAACTGTTAACATTTCACTCATACTACCCTATGCTCAGCAACATGGTTACCCAGTTTTGTCAGTTTTAAGTGGCAACATGTCCCTAGAGTTGGAAATTGCATTCCCTTAGAACACAGGATTTACATTTGTCTTCTTCCTAGCAAATGGAAATCCATCTTATTAAAATACAAACTACTCATGTATAGCCAAAGGAGACAGTCAACTCATACCTTTTGCATGTCTAGCTCGATGGAACGAGGTAATGATTTTAGACTAGCCAAGTACCATCTCTAAGCTTTTAGAGCTTCTGCATCCCCAATTTCACAGGACTCCACTGACAATGGACAGAAAGGAAGAACCAGATCAGCCGACAGGATGTTTGATTTCCCCTCAGAAAGAATTAGTAATTGGACATCCGCTTCCATCTCCATCTTATAGTACTTAAAATCATACTCCACCTGGCAAGTGAAAGACACAAAAGCATGTACTTAGCCCCAAAAGTTGCCTCTGAAATCAATGTTGTAGTCATTCAACAATGCACAAGAACAAGATTGTAAAAGTAAAATTATACAGCTTTCCAATGCTTGTGTACATAACACCTATCATAAACCTTTATCGCAAGATTTTACTACATGACATGTATACAATTGGGACATAAGTTGGAAATTACTTTTTGCAACTCCATTAGATTCTTTATCAATCTTGCGTTCTCAACCCCGACAGAGTTGAGTGTCCCTGCTTGTAAATATGTCTCATCAATCATCATGTGCGAGCCCTCAGCTAGTTGCAGAACTCCAGACACCAGTCTAGTGTTGAGGATCGGGGGCACACCAGGGAACTCAAACATGCAATAACACACAAGTTTTAACGTGGTTCGGCAAGTCGCCTACGTCCACGGGCAGCGGATTCACTATATTGAACAAAATTGTAAGAATTACACACTCTCTGTAATTCTCTCTCTCTTTGCTCTCAACTCACACCTCTCAGCTCCAAATCTGATGATTATATCCTCACCCTCCCGTCTCTATTTATACACAAAGGAGTAGGTGGGAGAGCCTTCACTCTTGACTTTTGACATGGTTGGTGGCCACCAAGCTTGACTTGGTTGGTTGCCTTGGTAGGTTGCCTTCCATTGTTGACATGAGGATCACCCCTTTCACATGGGGTGACCTCCAGAATCTGTAGCCAATATTCAACATCTAGAGCATAAGCATATGAACTTGTAAGAAAATAATGACCAATACAGATGTCAATCTCTAGTTGCACAAACCAAAAATTCTTTACCTGTTTGTTTCGTAATCCTTTCTTGGGGAAAGTGAAGCAGTATTGAGATAATCCACGGTAAGAGGTATAAAATGAGTGAAAGGCACAAGATTTTTGTCAGCAAGGTTAAGACGATTGCCAAAAATAGACACATTTTCCTTATTAAAACCAGTAAGATTTAGTGAAATCTTCCCTACTGCAAGTGTGTTAACCCTGGCATGCACCTATTATAAAGAAACTTGTTACTAGTGTCAAAAAATGTGCAAAGGCAATAAATCCAGCACAACAAATTTGAGATCAAATGTTTTGGAATAAGAAATGCTCTGATGGAACTATGAAAAGGTATAATATCTGATGTATGGGCTTCATAGAACACGTTATATAAAATTAAAGAACTGTGACTATGAGGACAAGCCTTGTACCCTGGACAAAATATCTGCAAACAAAAGATATATTCAAAACCTTGCTAGGAGGCGAATGAGACAATTCATCTTCACATAAAGTACTTGTGAACTCATCAGAATCATCTTTGTCTACACTAGGCTCCAGATTAAAAGTGAGGACACCCACAAACTCAAAAACATCATTCAGCTTCAAGTCAGCTTCTAGAGAGTCATATACCTGCTAAATCATTGGAAATACAAAGATAAAGCAATATTGCTAAAGAATGCTTTATAGGGATGATATTTTTTATATCTATAAATTAAAACAAAGGAAAGGATCATATTCACCTTCACAAGACAAGGAAATGAATTTCTGTCAAAATCAAACACCATACTTGTACTAGGACAAGTTCCCTCAGTTGTTGACTCCTCCAGATGAGAAGACAGGGAAGCCGACCCATCTTCTCACTGTAAAGAAGGAAGAACAATCAGATTAAAGGAAGAAAATTAATGACAACCACCATTTCAAAAATAATAATAATAAAAGAACTACCATTTCAACAATTCTCATTTGCTTTACTACTTCAAAGTGATTCAATCCTTAAGAACAAATCTGCTAAAATGTTCAAGAAAATTTCTATACTATGTGACTGTATATCTGTCTCTGCCCCCTTTAAATTTTGGTCTTTCACATGGTTTCTTGAGATAATTATATGACAACTGTTAACTTGACAACCACTTTCATGTAACGGTAAGATCTACAAAGCAAAAATGAGGCCACCATTGACATTGCTCTAATGTTTTGACGACAACAATAGTGGTGATATGTTATGAGCCACTATATATCGATCTATAATTTCTGGCAATTAAACCTACATGGTTGAAACTTAAAAGTTACAGCATGGAAGTTTCTTGGTTTTCACCCTATTAGAAATTTTGATATGAACTTGAAGCAAGCTATCCCAGATAATTAAACATAACTTGCATTAACCATGAATTTCTATATTTTATCAGGAAATTGAAAAGAAATCCATAAAGAATAAGAGGCAAACTAATGTCAGAGTAGCTTACCATCTTTTTCGTACATGGAGAATCCTGAATCTCATGATCTAACACCTGTCATCAAACAAAATACGTCAGAATACTAAGAACACAGCATGAGAACCCCCCACCCCCCCTCCCCAACAAAAAGAAATAAAATAAAGTCAAAATAAGCAAGCTATACATAAAAAAACAAAATCAACACAATATATAATTTAAACACCGTTATTTTGGCAAGTAATTCCAAAACATTTTCTAAACACAAGTATAAACCAAACTAGATCATTGAGCCCAAAGAGATCTTTTGCACAAAACCATTAGATAACTCCAACTAAAGCATCCAAATAAACATATATAGCAGCAATATATATATATATATATATCAATTGATCAGAAACAGCCACTTCGAATGTGTAGTTTTTATATTTGACAATATTATGCTCTACTTTGTAGCTGAAACAAATCTGAACTATACATCTTTTAGGTATCTGTCATTCAAGCTTGGCTTATCAATTTCACCTGGTATGGACTTGCAAATTCTAACTGTTAGAAGACTGAACTAGTTGACCTTTTAATATTTGAAGTGCAAATATTAAAATCTAAAAACAGACAACAAATTGCCAACAATTTAACCACACCATAGTTTACTAGTGTATTTCCAGGCTATCAAAACAGCATAGTTTGTCAAACAAGTGATGTACAAAAGCCAATTAGAGACCATAAACAATTATATAAACTAGTTTTTTTTTAAAACTAAAGAACGAAAAAATTACAGAGAAAGTAGAACAGATCAGCAGATTTGACAATGAGAAAGTAGAGAATGAAAAATGTACCTGATATAAGAGCAAGAGAGATCAACTATAACAGATCGATTTTGGATTTTGGATCTGCGATTTGATGAAGAACAGATCGAGTTCGAGTTCGTGTTCGATGAAGAACAGCTAGAGCAAAGCCCTCGAGCGACAGAGATCGATGAAGAATAGCTAGAGAGTTCGATTGCGAGCGACAGAGATCGATAAGGCGCAAACCATCGAGGGTTTTGGATTTGCAATCGAGCAAATCGAGGGTTGAGAATGAGAAATTGAGCGAGCGAGCGAGAGTTGTGTGTTTGAAACTGAGCGAGAGAGAGTGAGAGCTTCAAATCGAGGGTTTTGGAAGAGAGGGAGACTGAGTTATGGTAGAGACTGAGAAAAAGAGACTGAGTTCAAAGAGATGGAGGTTTTGACGATCAATACATTGACCCAATACGGCGCCGTTTCACTGAGATCAGACACAACGCTTTTCGAAAATGTTGTGTTTCGTTAATTTATAGTGGCGTTTCCCTAAACACCATAAAAAAAACGTTGCTGTAGGCCATTTTTCCTGTAGTGTCTACCATGTTCACGAATTTCTTTGTATTTTTCTATAGGTGTCATTGTGAGACAGTCGAAGAATGACAATTTTTGTGCATGTCAGAATTTCATGGAGTTGGAATGTTCTTTGTGTTATGATTAGTTTTCTTATTGTTTCAAGGCTGTGAAAGTAGAACTATTTGGACAATATGATGCTTTTGTAATTTGAATTTGAGTTTTTAGACAATGTGATATTTTAAGCAGTAATTAGTTTGTTTGGTTTGGTTTTTTCAAGATCCATTTTTCAGAAAATTAAAATTTTTTTTTGGTATTTTTTGGTATTATTTTTACTGAATTTTTTTAATATTCGAAGTAATTTTTTTTAATTTTTAGATACACCTAACATAAATACATTTAAAATTCACTAAATACTAAAAATATATATATAAAAGATACGAGAATTCAATACATTTTTCATATTCTTGTGTTTTTATTATTTTTTTATAAATATTTTATTTTTTAGATACATCTAAGTAAGATGCATCTAAAAAAGTAAAAAAATTACTTAAAATTTAAAAAAAAAAAATCACTAAAAACAAAAAAAATATGAAAAACAAAAAAACCTCAATTTTCAAAAAATTGAAATTAAACACAGTGAATAATAGTTTGAACTTCCAACCCTGAATAATTTGAATTTATTTTTATTTTTATTATATTTTTTTGGAATACTACAAGTACGCTAGTCATTTAAGTTGTGTAATTTTTTTCCCCAAATAAATATGAATAATGCTAGATGTACCAATTAGTATACTAACTAGTATACCAATTGATGATGTGGTATAATTTAAGAGGTCTTTGGTATTTGTAATGTGATTTATGAGTGGTCAATAATAATGTCATAACTAGTGTTGGTAGGATAAGGGGTCACTGCTGTGCGTGAGGCACAGCAGTGACTGTGGTGCATCCATTTGAGGCATATTATGACTTTATTCTTATGATCCAAACCGTCCATTTTGTAGGGTTTGTTGATTACTTCATGCCTACCAAAAATCATATTAATCAGATATCAACAACTATATGATCGATAACCAAAAAAATAAATAATAAGTTTTATTTTGAGAAATAACATAAATAATATGCAATTCGATCATATAGTTGTTGATATCCGATTAATATGATTTTTGGTAGGCATGAAGTACTCAACAAACTCTACAAAATGGATGGTTTGGATCATAAAAATAAGACCATAATACACCTCAAATAGATGCACCACAGTCACTGTTGTGCCTCAAGGACAGCAGTGACCCTCCTTCCGTGTTGGTACACTAGTTAATACACTAATTGATGCATGTAGCACTACCGAATAAATATTATATGTTGTGTAATTAAACAAAACTTTGAAGAATTTGACTCCCATAAGGCTTGGGGGCATTCTATTTGAACCCAAAAAATATCTCAGTACGCCTAATTTAAATTTATAAATTTTAATTCATGTTATATCCTAATATGAATTTACTAATAAGGACAACCCATATTAAATCTTAAAATAAATTAATTTTTTCCTCATGGTACACCCTAATCCATTACTCTTATTCAAATCTCTGCATCTTCTTCTCCAAGAGATCAAAGTTAGTTTTTCTTCTTCTTCTTCTTTTTCTTTCTCACTCCAAAACTTAAATCCACCTTAAACTCACCATTATCATTAACATTATTTTTTTATTATTATTTTGAAACTCTAAACCCTAGAAAAAACTTTGAACAATCAAACAATTGAGGAAAGTGCTAATCAAGATAATATTTTGAAGCAACTCATCAAAGAGGAGGTAAGTATTCATATAAAAATCAAACCATCTACATTAAAATTATAAATAAAGAAATAACTTTACATTAAAATATAGATGAAACAGATTCCATTAAAGAAAAGAAATAAACTAAAATATATGAGAGCTCCAACATAATAAAAAAACCAATGTGTGAGAGTGTTTTCCCATTCAAGCATTTTGTCAAATAGAATTGTCAAACACATTGTAATCAACAAATTGTTATAGCAAAATAGCAAGAAAAGAAAGAGATACAAAAAAAAAAAAAAAAAAAAAAAAATAGTTTCATTTAACAAAAAAAAAAAAAAAAAAAAAAAAAAAAAACAAAGGCAAAGAGATGAAGCTTGTCCATGGTGACTCTAATTATGGAGTCTTTCGCGAGGGCCTCCTGTGCATTAGTTTGAAAGGTTTTTCAAATACTTTTTTTTTTTTTTGATTTCTTTTTTATTTATTATTTGAGTTTATTGGCCCCGTTTGGTGTAGCTGTTAAAACAGATTATAGATTATAACTTAACAGATTAGAGATTATGACTTTAATCAGAAGCCGTTAATCTGTTTAGTGTAGCTGTTGGATTATAGATTTAAGTTGCTGAGTAGTGTTTGTTAAATAAGCTGTAAAGTAGCTTTTTCAATTAACTTTTATTTTTTGTTATTCACAATTTGTCTACATTTCTCATAAAAAATAATAATAATATTCTATAATCCATTTTGGTCATTTTCTATTTTTTTAAAAATAAAAAATAATAATAATAATCTATAGTCCATTTAGGTCTTTTTTATTTATTTTTTTTAAAAAATTAAAATTTTAAGAGTATAATCGTAAATTAACATGTCCACAGCAGAAGTTGATAATCAGAAGCAAAGGGTGTGCAGCTTCTTAGAATTACCTTTTTTTAGTTAAAATAAATTGTTAGAACCAAAAGCTGTTTGAAATAAGTTTAACCAAACAGTCCAAAATAGCTTTTCCAAAGCTAAAAGCTATAAGTTGGCTCAAAAAAGCCCAAACAATCACCCCCATTACGGGTAACTTAGGCAAAATAATAGGGTGTACTTAAAATAATATAAAATTTTAAATAAATGAAAAGGGTGTACTTAGAAATAGGGAGTACTTAATGATTTTTGGGGGTAAATAGAATCCCCCTAAGAGTTGTCATATTACAAATAATTCAACTATAGCAAGATTTGTTCAAAGGTCCAAATTACAGCCCATGCATATTAGTACAGTGGGCTGGTCGGGGATTTGAATTTTGTTTAGGGTTAGATTTGGGATAGTCAAATTAGGCTCAATATGGGCCACGTTTTACTAACCGACTCTTTCGAGTACGCAGCACAAATTTTCTCAAATCAACAAATTGGGAAGAAAATTAGGAAGTTGGGCTACCAAGTTTTCAACAAACTTCAATCCTTGAAAAGTCTCCAACTCCAAATTAAGAATATCAAAATTCAGACGGGGAAGAAACGAAAAGAAACTGCTAAGGATCTATTAAGGAGTGCAATTCGAACGGGTTGAGAGGTTGTTTAAGTTGTGCTAAGGGCTGGCCATACCTGCCCAAGCTGGAATTGTAACCCGAGGTTCTCTGTCCAAGTCCGATCTGAATTAAATCCAAATTACCTAAGTTGCCCAAATTGTGCATAAATTTCAAAACAAATTTCTTTTTTTTTTTTTTGTAGCTAAGTTAATTAATTTGTTCAAATTATACTTTATTCGCATTTTTCTTATAAAATCATTAATAATATCAAAATAAATAATTTATATAATATAAAAGAGATGCCGTTATGGTAGTTTTTATAATTTATGAGTGAAAAAAAAAAGATTTTGTGTTGTGTTACTTGTATATATAATATTTATTCAATATGACCTAACGATAAAATTACTTTAATATCATTCAATGTCTATAATTCATATGTATATTTA